TATATACAGGGTGGCTTTTTTCAGCGTCAAAGTCCAATAGCTCGGTTATGGTAGCACCAGGAAAAAAATATTTTAGACAAAAGTTGTTCCCAGTCAAGTTCTCCACATTTTAAAATTAGTTTGAATTATACGGGATGTCCCAGTTCCCTTGAGCGCCAATCAACTTTGTTTTATTAAATACAACACCCTATATATTTTTGCATTTTTGAATTACTCGATGAATTTTAATGTCACTGTAATAAATAATTATGGTATCTATTATGCACCGTTTCTACGTTAATTGATGATTTCTTAAAAAAATGACGTTTGCAGCTACTAGGAAAAAATTATTTATCTCGAAAACTAAAAATCGTAGATAAACGAAATCTTTACCATTGTTCTAAGCATGATCAGAGCTATCGAACTAATTAGTCTCCATTAATATCCGCCCAAGGATGTGCCAAATACGAGCGCCTAAATTTCTGAATTTTCAATCACAGATAACTTGATTTTTTCAAATGGAACTATGTACTAGATTTTGTTCAGGTGGATTCAAAATTTAATTTCCTTTCGATTTTGTTAAGGTATATTAGGGTATATTTCAAACGGTTTTGAAGATAATCACATTTTTTCTCAATTTTTATAATTGTGGCTGGTATTTTCATATTGCCCACTCAACCAATAGATAAATTATAATTAACAAATTTACCAAAACAGGTAAAATCAATCAATCAATCAATCAATCAATGTGATTATCTTCAAAACCGTTTGAAATGTGCAGACATCACATATTCAGCGACTTCAGTTATGTTTAAATCAAAATGGCCGAAATTTTGAACATTTATTATAATTATTTATTACCATTTATTGTTCGATGCTAATTATAAATAAAATTGTATACTGTTGTATTTGATTAATTTTCATACAAAAAATCTGTAATGGATGTTTGAGGAAAATTTCGATTGTAAGTTCCTGTACCTGTACCCACTTTTGTTGTTCTCTGTAAGTTTAAAAATACTTTTATAGTATGAGGCAGAATGCCTTCATTCTACCCCAAGGCTCATTTTGTTTAAACAAGCTAATGGAGTTTGACGGGGAAATCAGTTACTCTGTTCACCTAGGCCTACCTAAAATTAACATTCCATTTTGCATTTAAGTTAAATTTTATAATTTTTTATGAATTAAAAGATTGATTTTACCTGTCTTGTAAATTTGTTAATTATAATTTATCTATTGGTTGAGTGGGTAATATGAAAATACCAGCCACAATTATAAAAATTGAGAAAAAATGTGATTATCTCCAAAACCGTTTGAAATAGACCCTAACATACCTTAACAAAATCAAAAGGAAATTAAATTTTGAATCCATCTGAACAAAATCTAGTACATGGTTCCATTTGAAAAAATCAAGTTATCTGTGATTGAAAATTCAGTAATTTAGGCGCTCGTATTTGACACATCCTTGGGCGGACATTAATGGAGGCTAATTAGTTTGATAGCTCTATTCATGCTTAGAACAATGGTAAAGATTTCGTTAATCTACGATTTTTAGTTTTCGAGATAAATAATTTTTTCCTAGTAGCTGCAAACGTCATTTCTTTAAGAAATCATCAATTAACATAGAAACGGTGCATAATAGACACCATAATTATTAATTACAGTGACATTAAAATTCATCGAGTAATTCAAAAATGCAAAAATATATAGGGTGTTGTATTTAAAAAAACAAAGTTGATTGGCGCTCAGGGGAACTGGGACATCCTGTATAATTCAAGATAATTTTAAAATTTGGAGAACTTGACTGGGAGCAACTTTTATCTAAAATATTTTTTTCTCGGTGCTACCATAACCGAGCTATTGGACTTTGACGCTGAAAAAAGCCACCCTGTATACACTCCTGTACAAGAAAGTTTTTGTTTTCGTTTAAAAATATTACTGTTATTTTCATGACTTATGCATATGGGCAGATGATTAAGGAATTGGATGCCTTTAAATATTGGGCTTTTCTCGAACAACAAGGTACAATATTTAAGAGGTCGTATAGAATCGGCAGTTTTTGTAGGTTAGATATGGTACTCACATTTACGCATGAAACTTTTATAATTATTTTTTGCGTATAGTATACATTTGTAGATGTATATAGAATCCTCTTCTGAGAAATAAAAATTCAGGAAGCATCGCTCGCACTTCCCCATAAGATAACGTTGTAAGAAATATTAGAATAAACAATAGCATAATAAACACCAATTAGTTGATCAATGGTAAATATATTTTTCAGCTGAAGTATTGCATATAAACTACTGTTTAACTTCTTACATATGTGATTTATGTGAGTAGTCCACCACATATTACTATCCAAGTAGACTCCTAGGAATTTGGCGGTATTTGAAAACTGAATATTTATATTCTTAACTAAGATTGATATATTGCCTGAAATTTCAGTTCTGTTGAAAAAATGCACACAAACAGTTTTGTTTGCATTAATCATTAAAGCGCTTCTTTCGCACCAAGATTTAAATTCCTTGGACAGAAGGTCCATATTTTTTATTAGCTCTTCTGGAGACTTTGCATCTGTTGCTAAAGCTGTGTCATCTGCATATAGAATAAGATGTTTTGTACTCACATCATGTGGAAGATCATTTATGTATAATAAGAAAATTAGAGGAGCAAGAATTGCACCCATTTTAACTATAATTTTCCTAAATTGTAAGTAAGAAGTCAGACATTTCAAAACGTAACTTTCTAATTCATTTATTAAGTAGTCGTTCTTCATCCAACAATTCCGCAAGTAGCAAAGCTTCTTCTTCGTGTAAGTTGCACATTGTTATGCACCAAGTACTGTATTACTATTAGATCGCAGAAGTCTTGCTTGTGGAGTTAAATAAATCTTTTCCATACCTAGATTCCTGGTATCGAAGAACATTGTTTTGCTTCATTTGATTTTTTTTTTCTGGAAATTGTTTGAATTGGCCTAATTCCTTTAAAATAGGGGGTGCAATGTCATATAACCATGTATATTTAAATAAATAAATAAATAAATAAATAAATGAAAATAACTTTGCGTATGTTTGCAGGGTTCTATAAACAGAAGTCCATCCGCTCCCGATCTTATTTTAGAACGTTCTGGAAGTGTTGAACAAACGTCGCCAACGCTAAACCGAAGTACGGTCAATAAACCTAATACAAAACCGAAGACTTTCGCGGCATGCGCCTTGCTGAACCCAGGACTTTTGCACAGGCATGCTCTGTCTGTTGACGAGACTGGTGCAAATTTTAGGTAAGTACCCTTATTTTCAAGTAAACTCCCTCTATCCAAGAAAAGTATGTAGTAACCAGAAGACAGTATATTCCAAACCCCCAAAACTAACGAGTTTTCATAAATATCGATAGAACAATCGTTCCTGCATCGTTACAAATTTAATATCTGTTTATATAATAAGTGCGCAATATAATTTTTTACGTTTTAAGACGTGCGAATCTGGATGCTTGCGAACGAGGCGTTAGTCGAGTTTGGAATATCCAGATGAGTCCGTCAAAATATTTTGGGTACAGTTTACATATAAATTTATTCGGCACAACTGCCACAAAAAAAAGTAATAATTGGATAAGAAATTTTGATAAATAATTCGGTCACTCTAATTAATTTTTTCAGTGACGTTTTGTTTTGTGTTACGATTGTTGACACTTTGACTGTCATTAGTATGTGAATAAAGGACTCCGCACAAAACAAATGGTACTGAAAATGTAGTATGTTGTACTTCATGACATTCTGATCAAAAGCCCCGACCTCTGTCGTATGTCCGAATACATTAAAAGAACAACGATATCGATATTGTTGACCTTTGACATTTAATGTCTCTAAAATTGGCCATTTTCAGATATTGGGCGTATAAGGAGTTTTGATCAGGATGTCATGAAATACAACAAACTACATTTTCAGTCGATTTACTGTACCATTCCATTCCATTTGTGCATGTAGTGGAGGGGATGGTATGAGGGTATGGTACGTACGCGAGTTTAAGTGAGTGAAAATGTGTTTATATGTTCAAATATATTAGAATAGTAACGTTAAACAACTCCTTACGCCATATGACATTAGCGGATACCTATATTCCCGACCTTTGACCTTTATCTCTTCAGCCGTTGGGCCAACATTTTCAGTCCATTTGACTGTATCCCCTTTTTCATTTGTTTTGAGCGGTATCCTTTGTAGTCTGTAACAGGCAAATTAATTATAGATATACATATAAAATTATAGAAAAATTAAAATTTTGTTAAGTAATCAACAACATGGTGATCAGTACGGTACATTGTAAATATAGAACAAGGCGGCAAATTTAGTAAAAGTTTAGTTTGTATCTATTTTTTCTATTTCGGATAGTTCATGTCATCATGATAGTCTCCTTCACTTAAATATTAGTTTCGTGTTTGGTAAAAAACTATTTTCCCATCCAGAATGGACTAAACGTTGTCTTTTTGATGCAGGTCTCCGGAGCCCTTTGTTGTTTTCATTACACCATTAAATATAGGTATTTACACCATAAAGGAGGTAAGTATTATTTACCAGTCGAGGACGAGACTGGTAAATTATACTTAACTGCTACATGGTGCATAACATTTTATCTGCTCCCACAGCTCGCTATGGTTCATGAAATAAAGATTAGGTTTTATTTTTTGACATTTCTTAATCAATTCATTTTGATATTATTCGAAATCTTGCAAAGTCGCCTTGGTTTGGATTTTGTCGTTTCTAAGGTGTTTATAAACAAAGCTACATAAAAGTTGCATTTTTGCTGGTTTTGAATTATTATTTCTAAATGAGTGATTTTCAAATAGAAAGTGCAGCAAACGCTGCCTGCGAATTTAAAAAATTTCGATGACATTATTGAAGTTACAATTCCAGATTATAAAAATGATATGTCACCTACTTTACAATTACTTCTCGTCTGGGTTCTGTTTCTTACCTAGAAATTCTCAAAAAATATATCAAGATTAGATTGGAAATTAAAACTGAAATTTCACGCCTTTTTATGCGCTATCAAACAGGTAGATGTTACAACCAACCAGTCGGCAAGAATACCCTTTCTATGATTCCTAATAAGATTGCACAGTTTTTGAAACTAGAACATCCTGAAACATATACAGGCCATACATTCCGAAGAACATCGGCAACGTTACTGGTTAATACAGGAGTTGATGTATTAGCAATCAAGAGTTATCGTGGGTGGAAATCAGCCACAATTGCAGAAAGTTATGTTGTTAACAGTTGAAGTAACAAAAATGTGATAGCCAACAGGATTCTTTACAATGACACTTCAACTTCAGATGCTAGTAGTACGTCGCATCATGCTGTTTTAATGGATCAGTCAGATAATATTGAACCTCCGGTGACTGAAATGGAGCGGTCAAATCATTTTGAGAAAAATGTGACAATTAGTAAACGCGAGGGGAATAATAATTATCCAAATTTTATAAATGTTCTAAATGTAATAACTGTACAATTACTATAAATATTCATTCATAATAATTAATAAAATGTAATGTTCATCAAATATTTCTATATATTTGTTCATAAAATATGCATTTATAACTTAAGAACAATGTATTAATAGTCTATTTAGGTACTATATTGGGAGCAGATAAACTATATTTACCAAACCTAAGTAAATTTTTTGCACAGAAGGCACCTGTCCTACCATTAATGTCTCCTGTCTTTGACAGATCTACTTCGAACTCTCTTCTTCTGCGTATCTCGCAGAAAAGATGAGTTTTCTCAAGATATACAGGGTGGGCCACCAGTAACGCCTCGGTCGCTAGTGACCAAACGGCAAATGTTATAGAAACCTGTTTAGGTGGGTATGTGTAGGTTGATTACGGCTACATTTTAAAAATATTTTGAAATATACAGGGTGTCCAGGAAAAGCGTACCATATCAAAGTTATGTTTTTTTAAATGGAACACCCTGTATTTTACTGCATTTTTGAAAGCACCGTAAAAAAATAGGTGAACTTTATTAAAGGTTCTGCATACCTAGGACTTATAGTTTGTGAAATATTTCACAAACTATAAGTCCTAGGTATGCAGAACCTTTAATAAAGTTCACCTATTTTTTTACGGTGCTTTCAAAAATGCAGTAAAATACAGGGTGTTCCATTTAAAAAAACATAACTTTGATATGGTACGCTTTTCCTGGACACCCTGTATATTTCAAAATATTTTTAAAATGTAGCCGTAATCAACCTACACATATCTACCTATGCAGGTTTCTGTAACATTTGTCGTTTGGTCACTAGCGACCGAGGCGTTACTGGTGGCCCACCCTGTATAGCAGAACTAGGTCGACGTATAATAAATGGATAAAAAAGATAATAAAAGTATATAAGTGTTGAGGGTTGCTTTCGCTGTACAGCAAGAATAAAACGCTCTTTCAACGGTACAAATAAACTAATTTTATTGAAAACTAATGTATAGAAAACTTGTATGGAAAAGACGTGTTGACGGTCTGAGGGTTTGCTGGAGAGTGCCCTGTGGTTGAAGTCGGTCGTAGGTAGCTTGGTAGTAGGTGGCAGAAGTCCCTGGTCCTGGCGCCACTCTGCAGGGGTCGGCTTCCGGGAACCCCAAGGTGCGTTCGGCGGCGTTCTTGACGTTGTACTTAAAAATGGGTCACTTGCAACATGTGTACCCATAGTGTATTAAACGTATTAAGGGACATAGATGCTACTTTTATACATTTTATAAAATAATTTAATTTAATAATTTCTGAATTTTAACAAATGTACAATCTTTACTAATTCCTAAATTATACTAAAAATAAAATTTGCTTTTCAAGAATGACAAAAAACATATAGCTGAAACTTTTATATTATATTTTTTGTCGAGTTAAATGTCATTTGTTCAGAAGATATTTAGGGTTACATTTTTTAAAAATTCAGCACCCTGTATGTTCCAACGCTTCTTCATGTTAGGCGTGTCGTTGGGTTACACCCTGTATAAGTAAATTATGTCCAAATGTGTAAACCCTTAATGGGCGTGGCATTGACATTTATCATGATTTTATCTGCTCTATTAACAAACCACGGAATTGCTATAACAAATGTTATTGTTCATAAACACTTAACGTACCCAAGTCACTGGCCCCAGAAGGTTAATGGAATTCGCGATTGGTGGAAAATGGAAAGCCCATTTCCGATATAATTCTTAGAAGTCGAATAATTATGAATACTATAAATAAAATTCGTGCGTGATATCTTTCAGTTAATGTTATGTAAATGTACCTATACAACAAAAGGTGCTATTTCTAAGGAAATTTTACAACCTTGATGAATCCAGAAAAGTTTTCGAATAAATTTTGATTTTTTTGTATTTGAGATAGTTCATTGTAGGTTACTTTCTTCAAATTTAACTACCAATAAACAAATAACGAATTCGATTTCGCGATTTCTTGAAAAAAGCCAAATGGAAATTTGTATACCAAGATTTTTAGGTTCCTTCTATACCTCAGCAAAATTATAAAAAAGCATACCAGTCACCTCTTCGTCCGTTTTTTGAAATAAAATACATAAAATCAGTTGGATAAATCAGGGTGGGTAGTATAAATACATTCAATTTAATTCTTAAATCAATTTTTCAAAAAATGTTTGCGATGGCCAATTTACTTAAGAACCATATAGATGGAAGACGTAAACATCAAATAAGGTACAACCTAATTTCTTCAAGGATTTGCGTACATGAAAAATTTGAAAACTAACAAGTGACGTCGAAATTAAAAGTTATTTGACCTCGTAGAGTCTTCTTTTGAATTGAATTCAATTTGAATTGATCATTTGTGGGCTTAAGTTTTTTTTTTTCGTAGAATGCAGCGTTAATTGTTGAAAGTTAAAAAATTATGACGAATTATACGTATTTTTTGTAGTAGTGGAGCACATATGAAAATCAGAATAATTTGAAATTTTATGTAATATTGCATTTATTTGAAGGAATCGATTCAACTTTTCCTTAATATTGTTTGGCTATTTTTTAAGAAATTAGAAGAAAGTAATCCATGTTCTACGGCTGATAAGCGCTTAGCTTTGTACGCACTTCTAACATTTCTGATAAAATTTAATTTTGTTTCGCTTTATCTATGTTGTTCTGTTCGTTGCTCTTGTTATTGTTAAATAGATAAAGGTTGATGTGTTAAAAGATATTAGTAATAAGAAATATTAAGTTAATTTGTAGAAAAAATTCAAATGTTTCACATGGCTACTTGACCTTTTTTATTAAAATTATAATAAATAAATAAATAAACCTTATTGACTTTTTTACATACATAACAGTAATAGAAAACATTTCAGAAATAAATTCATCAGTACTAAAATAGCATTTCGTCATAAAATTTTTTTAGTGAAATTATAAAATGATCTGAGAGACATCATACTCGTGCTTGAAAAATTAACTATTTTATTATATAAATCTATTTTGGGTTTATTGTTTCTAGTTATATTAGTCCTAGAGAAAGGGACTATAAGGGCTCCACCGTGCCTAGTATTATATTCATGTACACTAGAATGTGTCGCAATGTTTGACAAATTTTTATGAACTAGATACAGTGATTCAAGTAGATATAGGCAAGGAAGTGGCAATATCTTATATTTTTGGAAGTACACTCTACTATGAATATAGTTTGGTACACCTGCTATAATTATATTCAATGTCTTGGTTACTTATTTATGAAAACTCCATAAAATATACATCTTTATAAAAAGAATTTCCATTTTCTTCTAATGAAGCAAACATTCAGGATGGCGTCCATAACAAACTACCGCTCTGCACACATTTTTAGAGATACGTTAATACGGACAGTAAAAATCGATTCCTCACATCATTTATATCAGACTATATATTTTTCTTTTAAAGTTTTGAAAAACAAGAGTAATACGACAAAAAAAAATAGCATAAAATCGGTTTTCCTCGAATATCTTCGAAACCATTCGGAATTTTCTAAATTAAAAAAAAACCGTGATCAGCATAACATTTTTGCTTATTTAACAATTTCTTAAAATAAGAAAAATGCCTGTATTGGAGAATTCAAAAGTTGAATTCTGTTTCTTCGAATAATCCTGAATAACCAACCGCTGTTAAATTACGCGAATAAGTAGTAGACCAGTAACACTAAAGCACAAAAGTGATGGTTAGTAGCGAGTGAATTATTGCTAGTTCTTCCATTTTCATTTTTATGTTATGAGAATAGACGTTTTTGTAGAAAAATTATAGCCGTGTAAGGAGAAAGGAAAACGTAATAGGAATAATAGGTACAACAGTAAACTCAACGTCCCGTATTACCAAATTGGCAAAATTAATGTAATTCATCTGTTCGTTAGGTTAAGCAACGAGTCATTACATCCCACTGGTAGCCAGGGGTCGATGGCAATGGACTTACATCTAGAATGTCCGGTCACTCTGAGAATTAAGGACAGGCGAAGAAATCCGCTAAGAAGGCAAAGGCGGGTGGAGGAGGACGTCAATCAGTCCGGTGACGAAGGCTACAGGAGGACCTCCCATTCGTGCTCGCCCAGAATGCCATCTCAGACTTTAAAAGAAACTACTAAAGGTATAAAATTTGAATCGATAGTTTTCGGAATACGGAGTGTCGATATACTAGTCTAAGAGCTGGCTGGCTACGAAAATTAAAAATGATAAGGTGCAGTGAATATTTTGATATAAAAACCCTCCTTACTAGCTGACAAGCGCGTAGCACTGCAGCCAGAAGTGGCTCCTAGGGCGGCAAGCGTGGACGAACGGTCAAACGCGTTTATTTTTAATCAAAATAAAATCTTTGAGTGCGGCTTGAAATTTTGTGTAGTTATATTTTTTAACTCTAGAAACCGCGGAAAATTATTGCCAGAAGCCTAAGTCGGGGATTAAGCGTTGCCAGAAGTCCGGGAAGTTGTAAAAAAATTGTGTTCAAATTTTAATGACAAGGTGCAGTTCTGGCGATTTTGTTTTTATATTAGTTTGCCGTTTTCACAGTTCGTTTTGGCATAGATTACACTTTCTTGTCATCTGTGAGCAAAACGTGTACATTATTCAGACTTGGAAATACTGAGACCTACATTTAATAATCTTACTAGTTGAAAAACTTTTTTGCAAAATTGAATGCCCTTTCAACTGATATAAGTTTGTCCATAACAATTTTCCAGAAAAATCAGGTTCTTTTCTAAAGTCCGAAAAAGTAGCTATGTAACAGCGTCAAGAAGATCTTGCAAAACCACTTTTCTCTCACATTTTATCAGGCCTGGAACTGACAGTGTCAATATTTACTGGCGTGTTCAAAAAGTGGTTTGACAAACATTAGTAAACCACTAACAACAACTAAAACTGCACGAAACAAATTGAAACTCGAAACACAACAAAGAGAAGAATACTTAGACCGCTGATTTACATCACTTGCTCGAAGTGGCCTCCATTTTGATTAATACACAAACGAATTGGATTTTTAAAAGACTGTTCAACATTGGTCAGTATGTCTGGCGTAATTTCTTGAAATTCTACTGTAATGCGCTGCTGCATATCTTCAGCAGTAGTTGGTGGTATAAAGTAAATTTTGCTTTTTACAAATCCTCATAAAAAGGTCGCAACTTGTCATATATGGACACCTTGAAGGCCAACTCACCGGTCCCACACGCCCAATCCATCTGTTGAGAGAAGTTTTGTGTAAAAACTGACTAACCGCAGCGGTATTGTGAGGTGGAGCACCATTATGCTACATCAACATTATTCGAAGTGTAGCTAAAGGAATGTCGCCTGACAAATCTTCTAAAGTGTTTGTTAAAAAGTTAAAATAAACTGCACCAGTTAGATGCTCGTCAAAAAAGAATGGTCCAATGACATGGCTTACCAAAATTGCTCCCCATACGTACAAAGACAATCTTTGTTGGCTATGAGTTGTGCTATGAGCTGTGTTATAATAATGGTAATTATGACGATTAACGAAACCATTTTTATCAAAAGTAGCCTCATCGGAGAACATGACCCATTTCAAAAAATCATCATCTTGATTTAACATCTCAAGTGCACACTGACAAAACTCCATAGTCTCCGCTGAAAGTCTACTTTTAGTAACTCTTTGTGTAATAGGATGCGACAACAAAGATAACTGTGCTTTTGTAAAATCCTATGTATCGCTGTTGTACTAATACCCATTGTGTGACTAATTTGGATCACATTTATTTACGGGTTTTTCTAAATACATCCCAGCACAAAAAATTTATTTTCCTCCGTAACTACAGTTTTACGGCAATTTCGTTTTGTATGTCGAATATTACCAGTATTTAAAAACCTCTCAAGCACTAGTTGAAAGGCTTTACGCCATGGATGTGGTCTGCCTGGACAGCGCTGTGTATAAATTCGTGATGTCAATAACAGATTTCTGTCGCACTAACCGAGGACAGAAACCATATCAATCATTTCTTCCTGCATCAGCGACATTTTGAAAATATCACTTTTTCTCTCTACTTAGCAAAATAACCACAACATCAACGTTAAATAAAACTAGAGTGACATTTAATTTGCTTTGTATGTCAAACAGTGCGATAAACATTGTTTGCAAGGCCTTCTTGTCGCTGTTACATAGCCACTTTTTCGGAAAAGAACCCTGATGTTTCTGGAAAACTGTTAGAGATAAGTGTGGACAACAGTAAGTATTATAACAGTCGAAAGGGCATTCAATTTTGCATTCACCCATGACAATTAATATGGGTCATTCCATTTAAAAAAAAACTTTTTCAACTCGTAAGATTATTAAATGTACGAGTAGGTCTCATTATTTCCGAGTCTGATTAACGTACCTACACGTTTTACTCATAGATGACAAGATAGAATAATTTATGCCAAAACGAACTGTGAAAACTCATAAGGTTTAGACGCTATCTAGCCTCATTTAGAGAGCTGAAATCGTAATTTTTTTTCAAAAACAACTGAAGTTTTAAACGTCATGTACATTTAATAAACTCTACTTAATATTAACCAAGGAATTCAAAAATGCAATAATATACAGGGTGTTCCATTTAAAATAAAAAAGTTATGTTATATTTTCTTTACATGGTCCACATTATTCCAGACAACTTTTATTAAAACCATTTTTTAAATCAATTTGACATTTACAGAGTTACAGAACAATCCCTCTGTATACATACATAGTATACATAAAAAGGATATACATATATGATATAACACGTTAAAACACTTTAAAATGTATGATTTACAATTGTGTGGTACACAACTGAGTGGTTTCCAAAAAAATTGGGTTTCGCGTTGGCCAGGTAGTACGGTTCTGGTTGTCTTTAAGAGTAGTTAGTCACCGTGGTCCTGGTTAATAAACTGTATGTACACACAGTTGACGTTCGGATGCAGTATTCGCTAGCGCCGTTAATTTCACAGGACTGAATCTTGCCAATTGATCTTGATAGAATGATAAAAAATTTCACAACTTGATCGCTCTCGGTCTGCATCGCAGCTAGCATTGGGTACCTATACGGTTCGCTCACTATATACAACAACCTCGACGTGTTTGAAGGTTATCAACTGTGTTAAATGGCGCTGGAGTGGTAGTTTGCCCGTTCGAAATTTTGTAGGATTTCAAAAATTAAGTGGTTTCGAAGTTCGCTTTGCTCTTTCGTCTAGAGAGAATTATGATTAAATTAAGAATTCATGGGGCTACCACATCACCCTCCCACTGCATTTTACTCCAATGACAATAATCGATATTTGCAGGTGGCTCAGCTCAACAACTTCCCACTCACTTCTCCCACTGCCCGGTCAAGAGGCGTAGTTCAAACGCCTCTGACTGCACTCACAGATCCAGGACAAGAAAAAGAGAGTGCTCTCATGGCAGGGGACGTTTGGAAAGGGCTATCAGTTCAGATTCTAGACTAACAGGTGCCATTCCCAAATGTTACCACCACCACCACAATACTTCCACTCAGAACTCGACAGAGCAGGAACCCGGAGGGTCCAGTTCCGACACGGATATACGTCGTACACCGCACACTGTCATACATTTTAGCCCACATTAATACATTGTTACCTTGTTACTTAGTATATACCTGTTGTTGAAAAAGAAGTCTGTAATGTACTAACTGAAATTATGATGTTTCATACTTATTAAGGTAAAATTATTAACAAGTACTGCCCCGTGGGTATATCGATAGGAGAATGTGATAATCACATGTTCTTTATTTACACACAATGAAAATTAATGTTAAGTGCAAGATTTTTTATCATCGTATATACAGGTGATACAAACGTATTTGTTCTTTTCGGCGAATTGCACAATAATAAATTTTAGTAAGACTGTGGAACTTTCTCTACGGATATCAGATATTTGTAGCGCCATAGATTAGATTAAAATGTGAATATTTGTGTATTTTGCACGTTTTTTTACTCTTTCAGATGTACTTCTACCATCCAAAACCAATATTGTAGTATTTTACAAGTTAGTAATTGTTGAATGTGTTAATTTACATGTACAAGTGTCATGTATAAGATATAATATTACCAAAACCTTTATATTAATTCGGGAAAACGTAAAATATAACCGCCATATTTAATGTTACACACAGTGTCTCTGTATTATTGGCATTTTTAATAAAATGGTGGTATTAGATTTCAATTATTTTTATCCATTGTTAGATAACGATAACAATCTGTAAGATCAATGCAAGACATTAAAGCAACATTTTGCGTCGAACCGACATTTTACGTAAGTATTAGGTATGCTACATGTCAACACTAAACTTATAGAGTATTCGTGACGTCATATTACCCGACTGATGCTTTCTATAGTCTCAAATTATATAAGTGTGACATAGTTTTAGTTTATATTCTGTTTATCGGGCATTGTTCCACCTGTTATCAAACATATTTGAAAATTAATCAAACCAAAAGGTCAGTTAAGAGTTATTTTTGTTTTTGTCTAACCAAAAACCACACTGAAAAAAGCAGACAAATAAAAATACGCAACACTAATCGTATACATTAATCGTATACACTAATCGTATAAACTAATCGTACACACTTCCGTTGAATATTCTGGTGCAAGAAGGTAATAAGTCCATATAAAAAAAAAGACGTATAGGTTTAAAAACGTACTTCATTTGCCTGGTGCAAATATGGAATCTAAGATATAATATTCTCTGCTATAGACTGATATAAGGAGAACAAACGGTTAATTTAATATTTCGACATTATTTCATGCAATGTGATTGACATAAAAAGTATTTTCGATATATTTTATGTTTCCTCCTTATTCATTATTTTCTGCTGCTTCTGTTATTTTTTGAATTGTTTTTAAATTTTGATGTTGACGTTTATATCATATTTTGCTTCTTTTTTGTAATATAACGTTTGTACTGTTTTTATGTTTTTGTGTATATTGTTATTGCTTTTTTGCATGTTTATTTTAAATGTTTTATATTGTATTTTGCAGCACTTTTAAATTATTATTTTACAATCATTGGTTTTTGTATACTGCTGCTTATCTTTTACGTAAATTTTATGGTCGTTGGATATTTTAATAACAAATAAATAAATTAATTAATAAATAAAAATGCGAGATAAGTTACATGTCACTCATTCCCTGTTTTTTGAACGACATATGTTGTCTTTTGCTCTTGATATTTATTCTGGCAATTTGTTTATATTAAATGTATTATTTTTGTAAGTAATAAATGAGCATTTAATAACTTGTACAGAAAAACGTTTTGAATGTTACTTATTCACTTTTTACATAAATATATTATATCATGATTTACAAGAATATTTTACTTATATACAGGGTGAAAAACTTGAAAGAATTTCGCAAGGAAAGAAATAAATAGAATTTTATAGCACCTATTTCATATCATCAAATTCAACTGCTTTTGCCACTACTATTATTATTAATTAATAAAATTAATTTGTGTTTTTAATTAATTAATAAAATAGTTTTACATACCTGATGTTACAAGAGCTGTCCAAAATTTTGTCCACCGACATGTAAATACATTTAGGTCTGTCTTTCTCAGTTTCTACGAACTAACACAAATGTTGTCTTGCTTCACCATAACACAAATGCTTTACCATAATACAAATGTTATCTTGTTTCACCATAAATTAAAACGATATCCATCAACTCCGAGTTGCTATACACGCAAGCCATTTTTGACACTAACTACTAAAAAACTAGTGTAAACAATATCACAACGATGATTGTAAAACCGGATTTCAATATTCGGAGTCGCTGAGGCCACGTGGCTCTCCACGTGTATTGCGAATGACGCTAGAGACTACAGTTGTCCAGCTATGTAATGGTTGAAAGTAATAATTTTTTTTTGGAAACTATAAGGATTTTACAATTTTTTTTACGATATTTACTCCATTTCTCATGCCGCATCTATTCCCAAATTTTGTTAGATAAGTTATTAATCACCGTGTATACATGTTATTAATTTATCCAATTGATAACAACACACTACAGCAGGGTCTACATTATAGCTATTTCGAAAAATCATTCGTTTTCTTTATCAGCGACGTTGCTTTTCAAATGGATTTGATAGTTTGAATTTGTTTGTTTTCGTGCTTCCATAGCTACAGAAATCATATGATGTGTGTGGGATATAACTAAATATGTAGGGTAGCCTTTAACGAGTGGTATGACGTCACAACATGGCTCCTGCGCGTTTTCTCGGACTCCGTTTACATTATTTATTTTGAGGGAGAAAAATAATTACGATTTTTTGAATATTTACAGCTTTTTAGTTACACTTTTGAAATATCATTCGAAATTACAGAAAATACGCTAAATGAGCTCATTGGTCGGGGATAAAATTTTATATGTAGGTTCCACGGGTATATTAAACATTTATAGCTCTTGACGTATAATAGTCCTCCGTTAATACTTCTGATTCTTATCTTCACCTTGTGGGTAATAAACGCCTACTGTAGACTCCTGAAACATAAATAACTGCGGTCGTGTAACGTTCATGACAAATTGCACAATTTTTTTTATTTTTCCAGAAAGGTATCTTTACACTTTTAACTAAAATAATTTTGCTACCCTACCTAGTGCGAATACGAGTTGAAATAAAGTTTATTGATTCCTTAACTTTCGGTTGAATAACCATTGAAATGTCCCGTTAATGAACGTTATTTTTAACTAGATATTTGGCGTTATTTTACGGTTTTTCAAATATCTAATTATACCTTTGCGTAAATATGGTATTTCGAATTGAAATTTAGAAATCTGTAAATATTAAATAATTGGCATTTTTTTAAATTAAAATGTCAAGAAAGGGTAATGTATTATTGTTTTCTAATTCCACAGTAAATGTAATTCTTGGTTCCTTGTTACCTACTGATATTACCTTAGAAATAAGTATATTTAATTCCTAAATGGTAAAAACGCAATTGCAAATTCTTAACATATCTTCACCAAATGACGAGATTTTTGATTAGGCAAAACTATGTTGTCATAAAAATAACCCTTGACTTATTCTTTTGCCGAAAGGGTTTATTTCATTATTTTTTAAATTTTTTCACAGATGGGGAAACCCAATAAATAAATAAAAAATTATTCTACAAATAATTAACTTCAGACAATAACCTCTTTTAGGTATAATAAAATTCGTACCAGTGGTGATTTACAAAATTCTATTGAAAATAAACTTTTATTTTAAACATTACATTTTGTTCGTACGTCCGGTTTTATCAATATTTATATTTTTATATATCTAACAAAATTTTGTCTAGTCAGTATCTGAAAATCTGCGTTTTGAGATTGCCAATATTTTAATTTAATTTAATTGTTGAATGTTCAAACATTGTTTTTAGAAAAGGTTCATAACACTAAATCATGGATTACTAAATTTTATACGAATTAAACAAACATAAATTTGTTACCTTGGGTTGCTTTAATGTCTTATAAGTATTTTTTTAACAAAATATAGCAAATGCATTAATAGGATGTTCATAATTTAATAATGTATATTTTTTATCGTTGTTTATGAGAATATAAAACTGACAGGGACCAAATGAAATATATTACGGCATTTACTATGTACATTCAAAATTAATTTTTTCCTGAATATTTCAATATATTCCTTCCTTTACTTCATAAATGTATGTTTCTTAGTAACAACCTGTCATAAACATTTGCTAGATTTTGTAAATCATAACATTTATTCTTTTGCAGTATAAATTGTTTAAAAAACATTGAAATACTGAGTAACAAAAAATATATTTATAGCCAAAATACAGTGAAACAAATTAAATCACATCGTAAACAAAATATATTTGAGGTTTGGGATAAATTAAGCAGTCTCTTAGATATCATTTTTTCAAATAGTTTATGTTTTCTTGAATAAACACATTTTAAATACAGGGTGATCTATATTTTTACTGATAAATGTTAATACTAATAAAATAATATCTCTACCCCTCATTCTAATCACAAGGATTAGCCCAGAAGTCGGAGACTTGTACGAGAGAGGGGGCGGCATATTATTATTCAGCAGGCCGCATGTGCGCTCAGGAATGACTTACGTAAAGACAAAACAAAAAATATAATTTGAAGACATATGTCAATGTGCCACCTATGGAAATTTGACACCAAAATTGATCAGTTGAATAATAACCACTTTCTAACCTAAAAAAGGCAGGTTTATCGATTTTTGTACAAATAAATTTGCCTGAGGGCTTAATTGCGTAAAATTATGGAAAAAAAATAGTAAAAATCTGTGTTTACTAGAGAAATACCAGATCCCAATTTCCACGCAATTTAAACGTATAGAATTCTTTCACCCAAGCATTCAAGGTTAGATTGCTATTCTAACCTATTTATTCAGAAACGTTTCCCATAAAGTTAGCTGGATAGCTTTTCATCAGAAATAAGCATCAGTTTTCCATGATCTACACTAATTTCTACTGACTTTCAACTGTGTCAATGACTTCACAAATAAATATAATACATCCTGAAATTTTGCCGGTCTTACTTTAACAATTTTTGATTCTAATAAATCATCTGGTATTACGTAAATGG